GAACCCAGCTATCATGGCTGTGAATGTCCATCATCCTAAACATTTTTGCTCACCGGTAAAAACAGGTCCCTTTCCCATAATTTTCAGAAATGTTCAAGGTGAAGAGATGGCAGATAGGGTGGCCCAGGAAACCAAAGGGTCTCTGGATCAGAACGACACAAATTTTTTATTAGGAAAGATGATCCCGGAGCATCCGCTATAAACTCTCTCAGGCTTCCCTTAGAGGAGGTGGATAGGAAACTGGTTTTGCTGGGAGCAAGATATTCTAATGGGAAATATTTTGTTGTGCCTCGGTCCTCAAATGGCAATGAAGATGCATTAGCTTTACACAAGACCCGCTCCTGGTAGAAACTCTGCCAAGATGCTGTTGGCATTTTTGAACCTTCCTTTACAGTTCAGGGTAGGGCTCTGGAACATAGCTGGAAAAAAGTTGGTTTTAGACTGTAATACTAAGACTTCCACCTTGGAGTGTGGCAGTTTTATGTGCAACCTTGCACGCTGCTGTAGTTTGCACATCTGGGGGGAACTTTTATTGGCTGCAGTGGTTGTCTATCCAGCACTGAGCAGTAATTCCTTCCAGTCTTTGATTTCAAAGAGGTCCACACCTCCCGGCTGAGTGCTCTTTCCCTGTAGCATCAGTTAAAGGCCGTTGTTACTTTGCTGTTGATCCGTTCGTCGCTGTAAGGGATGAAACGTTTGTTATTCTTTCTCCTACAAAAGGCCCCAGAGTGAGTTGTTCAGACTACGTGCCCGTCGGTGAGGAAGGGGTGGACTATCTGGGGAATTTGTAGCTCTTCCCCTCCACAACTCTCTGGACTTCTACTGCGTAGCAAAACGGCAATTTGACCAGAAATTCCAAAACTTTGCAACAGGTAGAGGCTGGTTAGTGGATTCTGGGAAATGGAGTCTAAAAAGGTAGCTGTGGCTATAGGTCCTGTCATGAGCAGCTGAACACTATGGTAAGATCAGGCCCATTGCTCACCCTCTGGGGACTGATAAGAGTCAGCAAACTGCCTTTATGGACTTTCAGGGAATGAAAAATCCGAAAGTCTCCAGAACCCATGTTGTGGGGCTGGGTTTGTGACCATCCCAGGTTGCCAGAAAAAGTGGCAAGCCCGTGGCAAGCCTTAAGAAGCAGGCAATACTGCCACCTGGCGTGCTTTTTGTCTGTCGGCCAGCACAGAAGGCAGCTCCAAAAGGGGTTAAAACAGATATAGGGTACAAGCTCGTTTTGTCCTGAGTCCTGCTCAAGCTCTAGCAAACTCAAACACTGTGACTTCCTTTAGGGAATTGGTCCATCTCGTATTTGGGTCTTCCTCTTTTCCTGCTGCCTTCCACTTTTCCCAGCCTTATGGTCTTTCCCAGAGACTCTTGAGTTCTCCTGATGTGCCAAGAGCAGGGCAATCCCAGTTCCATCATTTTTGGCCTCCAGAGATTGTTCAGGCTTGATTTGCTCTAGGCCCCCCTTGTTGGTCTTTCTGGTGGCCCAGGGCATCCACAAAGCTCTCCTCCAGCACCACGTTCCCTGATCATCTCTTTTTACCACCAGCGCCCCTGATTTTCTGATTTTTCTCCATACTGAGCCTCTAGACTGAGGTTTGCGCTGCACAGTTTCCTGGCCCCATGGACCGTATAGGGTGGAGCAGGAGAACACATGCCCCCCTCCAGATGTTGGATTCCCTCTCCCATGATCCTCTGCTGCAGGGCTGATGGGAGTTATAGCCCAAGGACATCTATAAAGCCATATACATATCCCCCTCACCTGACCCTTGATATAGGAATTTGTTTAGCCAGATTGCAGTGGTGGAGTGGAGCGATAAATAAATGTATTTTCTTGTGCACATCTGTATGAAACACAACAGCCTGGCTCCTGATAAGTAGTCCCACCTAGAATAATCGATCTATTGCCTCAGTGGGATTTATTGACTTGTAACTGTTGCAATACATGATCATCTATTCCTTTCCACAATGCCATCACAGGCAGAACCACTACTCATTGCAGGCAGAAATTCTGCAGGCTCAGCCTTGCCCATTGCTACGTATGTCCCCGTCTGCAATAAATAAA